CAGCCCGGCCCCGCCGCGCAGGCCTAGGCGCGACCCGGCCCCGGAAGGCACGCAGGAGCTTCAATGGTCGCCAACTCTGCGGGCAGCCGGGCGGACGCGGCGCCGCAGGCCCCCGCAGGCCCCGCGCTGTCAGATCCAGTTCTGTGGCCGTTCCGCGTCATCCTCGCCCCTGTGCGGGTTTCCCGCCTGCGCGCGGGAGGTAGGCCGGCCGGAGGGGCGCTGGGCTTCTCTCGGCGCTTAGGCTTGACCTCCGGTTCTGCTTTTTGGCGTCCGGGCCTCGGGTTCCCGTACGCTCGCGGACGGTCTAACCATGCTGGGCTCCTTCCCGGGCCGTGGGGCGAACAGTCCGCGCCCGCGGGAGGATTGTCGCGGGCAGGGGCTGGAATTGAGCTGCGGCTGGGTGCTTGGAGACCACTCCACTCTCTGCCCGCAGGGGGCAGTAACCGTCGTGATTCAGATCAGGGGCTTGTAAGTCAGGGAGTCCTGGGTTCGAATGTAAGTTCTGCTGTGTCATCACCTACCTGCCAAGGCCTTGGGCAAGCTGGCTCATCTGTATTTGCCTACGTAAGAGAATCTGGAAAACTCAGCTCAGTGCTAAAAAGCACAGGCGCAGCACACAGTAAGCACTCTGGAGGTACATGGGGACAGATTTTATAAGTTTTCTCATCACTTTTTTGGAAAAGAGGGGTACTCTTTCTTTTATATGTGTGTATGTATTAATATTTTATTCTCATCTTTTTTGTGTGAGGAAGATTAGCCCTGAGCTAACATCTGTTGCTAATCCTCCTCTTTTTGCTGAGGAAGATTGGCCCTGGGCCAACATCCGTGCCCATCTTCCTCTACTCCACGTGGGATTCCGCAATAGCATGGCTTAACAAGCGGTGCGTCAGTAGGCACCTGGGATCCAAACCTGCAAACCCTGCGGCCCTGCAGCAGAGTGTGTGCACTCAACCGCTTTGCCACAGGTTGGCCCCCTAGTCTCATCTTTTTTTCCGCTGTTTCTTTTTGATATGTAATTCACATACCATAAAATTCACCCTTTAAAGTGTACAATTCACTGATTTTTAGTATATACACATTTTTTACTATATAGTTTAAGCAAATTAATAATATAACCAGTGTTGCAGAGGATATAGCAGTACACTTGAGAATATTTAAAAGAATGAGAACTTAAGTTCAACTTAGTTATTAGCAATTAGTTTTATTTCCCATATGGACTTGGAAAAAATAAAATCTTTTTGCCTCAAAATAGCCTAAAATTCGGACTTATGGCCCAACACCTTCTTCCCTTTTGCCCACTTGACAAAAACTCAGGGAAGGAATCTCTCTAGAGACCCTAATCAGATGTCACTGGTCTCAAGGCATTTATCTAAGACACTCTGGTTTCCTTTGCCTGATGCCTCAGGTGGACAGAGACTAGGGGTGGAATTAAAGGTTGTATTTCCAATATGTACATTGCATGGATATGATCATGAAAAATGCTCTACAAACTTGCTCATTAAACTGAGAACTGAAAAAGGAACTGGTAGGTGTGAAGTAACAAGTAGAGACCCCTCATCATTTTCAGTAAGTTCACTTTCATTGTTTTCCTTCCCTAAATCCACTGTATGATACTGTGGTATCTCAGCTCTAGTCTTGAAAGCAGTAGCAGCAGGATGCTAGTAGGGCCCAGGGGGAAGTGATGTCCACCAATAAGGGTTGTGAATGCTCTGCCTTCACATGTAGCTCTCCTATTAATAGGATTTAAATCTCTTAACAAAGATTTACTGGGCATGTCCTCTGTAGTGGACACCCTTGGGAAAAGCAGTCTCCTGATCACAGTCTTTCAAGCTCTGCCCGGCCACATAAGAATGGGCCTTGGGCCTGGAACACTACCTTACCAATAGATATAAAGAGCATACACAGCCTCTGTCAGGCTTATCACCTTGTGTGGGAATATCTTTCCGTTTCAGACTCAATGTGTGTTCCTTTGTTCTGCTTAAGCATGTATGTCAATAGCCCTGGGGCACGCCCTCCCTCTCAGTATTTCAGACTCCATGGGGGAGGGGGGTGTCCTGCTGGGGCACTACAGGGGCACTCATAGGCTGCTGGCTGTCATGGAGCAGCCACTAGCCATGAGGGACCAACACACACTATTTGAGCTGATCTTGCTCTGTTTCTTCTCTATGTGAGTAAAAATGCTGTTCCATCCAGTGCTTGACTGTTGTGTTTTCCTTGGCAGCTCTGATATCAAGAAGTAGTGGGCAGTAGTGGGCCCTGGTGGCTGGCATTGTGATGATCTTTGCTATCCTCTATGTAGTTGATGGTCCCCCACCCACCCCCGAATTGGTTACCGGTGCATGACGTTCTGCTCAGTGTTCTGGTCGACAGACACCATGCTTGGCTTGGGATGGTTCAGCTGGTCTTGGACCACTTCCTTCTCCCTCTACTTCCCTTTGCCTCAGCACCAGTGCTTCCTGGCTGTCTCACTTGAACCTCCCCTCCAGGGAACAACCCTGCTCCAATTTCCCTCCAGGAGAACCCCAAGCAGCTTGTCTCAGGTAAGTGTTAGAAGCAAAGCCATGGATCTGTTGGTCATCCTGGAAGCCTCTCCTCATCCCCCAGACTAGAGTAGGGCCCCATTACACATCAAGAGGCATGAAAATTCCTGTATCCTTGATAGGATAACTCCCACTCAAGAATCTGCCCCTAAGGACATGAGACTATATACAACCATAAATCCAGCAAAAGACAGGTAAGTAATGCTGAATCTACTCAGAGACCCTTTGAGTAGCCATACTCATATACTCATACATACTATTATGTAGCCATCGTTAGGAAAACTGTTAGCAACAGTGAAATATTTATCATTTGTTAAGCAAAAAAAAAAAACCCCAAGGTTCTAATTATAGTTATATTATGACTAAAATTATGGGAAACAAAAGAAAGACTAGAGGGAAATGCATACGATGGTCACTCGGGCCATGGCACAGAAGCAGAGCAGGGTACTATCCCACATAGGGGCTCCAGAGTCAGAATGCTTAGGTTTGAAGCTGAGTCCCACCACTGGAAGCTGCATGACGAAGAACAAGTTATTTGGGGCCTCATTTACTGTTCTGTAAAATGAGGATATTTAATAGTAATGTCAGTTTCACAGGGCTATTGTACCAATTAATGAAAGTATATGTAAAGCACTTAAAACAGTACTTGGCACACACATAGTAATACTCAAATGTTAGTTATAAGAGATGGAATTACTGGAGGGTTTTTTTTTTTTCCTTATATTTCTAAGTACAGATACATGTGAAGTTTCAAATCCCAGCTTACCATGTGTGTAACCTGGGCAAGTTATTTAACCTCTCTATGCCTCAGTTTACTCATCTATGAAATGGAAATAATGGTACTGCTCTGAGCCATGGTCCCCTCCTGCCAGTGATACTCTAGCCACAGCTGTCCACAACACAACACATAAACTTGTAAACTCCTGTCCAATATAACACTCTGAGAAGAAGATTCATCTAAGGTCCTATTTCCATAGAATTTAGGGTGCCTTATGAAATGAACTATTCTGTCTAAAACACTGGAAACAATCAGTATAAAAGTAACATCATTATGTTGTCAAGATGTCTTACATCTGAATTTAAGGGATCTTTTAGAAATAGCTTTTCAAAAATTTTGTATAAATTACGTGTTGTCTCTTTTCTGCACATGTCCTAAACTAGACTAGAATCAACTTGTGAGCAAGAAGGGTGTTTTACATTTCTTTCAGCTCTCACTAAGCCTAGCACAGTGCTAAGGACATTTTAAGGTTCAATTAATGCATGCTGGTTAGAGAACTATGACTAACATTTAAGTTATGCTTTAGCATAGAACTGATAATAAATAAGCTTTTGTTGTGATAACATTTACTTTCTCCTGACATCTGCCTTACCCAGAAACAACCTCTTAAATCACTGCAGATTCTTTCAGTGAAATTGGAGGTCACAAACACCAAAGTATTTGACTCTTTTATTTTCCCATTAGTTGCTACTTGTAAGGTCACACTTATCAATTCTAGTTATTTTTCCCATAACAGAACACTTTCCTGCTTATAGACTGAGAGAGAGAAACTGCAAATGTACAGAAAACCAACCTTCTTAGACATATATAAGGAATCAAGAATTTTCTAAAGCTAGAATCTGAAAATCCTATTTCTGCCTTCTATAAAGTCAGCATATTGCCATTCTACTCACTATTCCACCAGAATACATCACATTGCAAACTGGATTACTCCCTTAAAATACTGGCTTATGTTCCAGTAGTAAAAACAAGAATGGTAAGTTGTATTGAATATTTTTGCATTTGCTTATTGCAATACTAGTTAAAACACCAGTTTATAATGTTTTTACACATTCAGCAGTTCAAACGCATGATTCTTTTAATCTGACAAGTTGTAAGTCAACACTTCACTGGAGAAAATGTATGAAACTGCAGCATTAATTTCTGAAATGAAGGATTGGAATTCCTCTTTCTGACTTCTCCTTTCAGTCCATCACTACTCTGCATGTTCCTGTTCTTGTCCTGGAATCAGCCACCGAATACTCTCAGTTCGAATGGCAGCATACATAATAAAACTAACTAAAAAGAATAAGGAAAAAACAAGCAGCCAGTCCACACTTTTTACGAGCGTGCTGGGGAGAGGGCCTGCGTGGTCAGCTTGCGTTACTACCACATGTTTCTTGGCTTCTATACCTGGAAGAGAAATCAGTTGTTTCAAATCAGATAGAAAACAGCAGCTACAGATCTTTCTGAAGTATTTTGTATCGTATGCAAAATGATATGCAGTCTTAAACACCACCGCTAGTATATCTGGGAGGGGTTTTACTTGCCTGTCGGTGTAATTTGTAACTTGCCTTTCTCCCCACCACATCAAAGGAACAAGAATCCATTCAGCAGTTCAAAGCTAAAACACTGGAATTGCTGTGAACCCCTCAGAGGGGTCTTAAGTCAGTGCATGTAAGAGCTGTCTTTTATTCTCTTTTGAGACCAAAGTTCAACAAGTAACTAGTAAAGTTACTCTTAGGAGTCTACAGAAGGTTTTCACAGGTTAAGTAATGCTAAATTCAAAATGCTTTAAAATAATTTACTGAAAGAACTGTTAGAACCACTACTGGGATCAGTGATTACCAAAGATGCTGTGACTCCTAGATTTCATTTGTGTTCTAGGTTTAAGGCATTGAGCAAAATGGCTCCCTCTCTCCATATCAACTGAATGACAATCAGGGGTCTGGTATAGAATAGCTCTAGAATAGCTCACCACCTGGTAAGAAGGCTTATAACTCCTATGAGGTAACTCAGCTCTTGGTTCTTTAGTGTTAGATTTAAGTAATTACATGCAACTTAATATATATGGAAGGTAAATATATGAAAGGTATAATTTGTATTTATTTCCAGTGAATATACTTCAGGAAGAAGTGGGGTGCTCATAATTGAGGCACTGAAGCTTTTGAGGAGTGAACTTTTCCAATGAAGGAAATTTCTTCAATATACAGTGCTCAAACTTTGACAGAATAAAAAAAATAAGGCCATATGTTTTGGCAAATATTAAGGAATTAAAATAGCATCTGCAAATGGATTAATGGAACACCATACAGCAACAAAAATGAACAAAACACAACCACACGCAACAATGCAGATGAATCCCACAAACATAATGGTGAATGAACTAAGCAAGACACGAAAGAATCCATACTGTACGCCTCCATTAATATGAAGTTCAAAAACAGGTAACACTAGTCTATGGTGTTCGGAGTCGAGATGGTGGTTATCCTTGAGGGCAGGAGCAGTAGTGCTGAAGGAGGGCTAGTGATGTTCTCTTTCAGGATCTGAGTACTGGTTACCCAAGCTGTTTACTTTGTGAAAATTCATCACTCAGTACACTGATGATTAATGTATATTTTTGTATAAATATTATACTTACATTGACAAACATATGTAAAAAGGTATACAGGTGTATGGTATGTGAATTATAACTCAATAAAGCTGTTATTTTTTTAAAAAAGGTATCTATAATCATATTAAAATTACCTATTCATGTTAAGCTTGCCACTGATTGTCAGACATTTAACAGGATCCTAAGAGTTCATTAGAAAAGAAGTTTCACTCTACAGCTATGGTACACAACTATGTACTGGGGCTTTGGGGAGAAAAAGAAAAAGAGGAAGATTGGCAACAGATGTTAGCGCAGGGCCAATCTTCCTCAAAAAAAAAAGTTTTACTTCTGAAAGCCCATCTTGAATCCTTCACCTAAGAACAGCAGCAGATTGGAACCCACAGAAGGCATACACCCCCCAGCAATAAAGTTTCTTCTACAATGTATTATTTCTACATACCTGTCTGGTTGAAAATGAAGATTTTCAGCGTTTCCAGTGTTCGGTCTGTGTGATTAAATCTAGCCATTGGTTTAGCTCCTTGAAATAACAAGATGTTAGGAACAGCTACGGTGCCAAACCTGGTAGAAAGGCTACGAGAGAAAGAAGCCAGTGAGAAAACCTGAAGAAACAGCGGGCTTTCTCACACAATTACCGTATCAGAATGGATGGAAATAATTGAGAAAGAATCAGTTTCGTGTGACCTACAGAGGTTTCTGATATTCAAACTATATGCTTGTAGCTGTTTCTGACCTCTTTCCTTATGGGTCATGGTGGAGGGCATTCCTGTTCTGCTGAGCTGCTTTCTATTACAGTATGGAACTACCCATGACACAATTATTCCACTATTTAAGTTCCTAACTGCCAAATGGATCAGACCAGAAAATTCTAATTCATGGACAAAGCACACTATGTCAGTTTACTTGACAGAAGAAATTTCAAACTCTCCAGAATGCCCATCTCCATCCTTCATACAACATTCAACTTACGGTAAGCAATTAGTTTGATATGTCAGCACAAGAGAATCTGTGATTTAAGAAACACACCAGGATGGGCCGGCTCTGTGGCTTAGCGGTTAAGTGCGCGCGCTCTGATGCTGGCGGCCCGGGTTTGGATCCCGGGCGCGCCCCGAGGCACCACTTCTCCGTCCAGCGCGAGGCCGAGTCCCACGTACAGCAACTAGAAGGATGTGAACCTATGACATACAACTATCTGCTGGGGCTTTGGGGGGAAAAAATGAATAAATAAAATCTTTAAAAAAAAAAAAAAAGAAACACACCAGGAAGTTCACAGTTAGGGCAGGACGATTCGGAAGTAACATGACCTGAGCAGTACCTTCATAATACAGAGTAGTGGTATAAGCTCCAGAGTCCAAACACTCAGAGTTCGAGCCTCGGTTCTGCCACTGAGCCAGCTGTGTGACTTTTGCACAGATTATTCAACCTCTTTAAGCCTCAGTTTCCCCCATTAGTAAAATGGTAATATTGGATAATCAGGATTTTTCTTTTGTAAACATGATGTAACAAATATTAACATACGAGGTAAACACATGTCCCAGGCCATATAATAAGAACAAGTATCCTCTATTCTCCACAACTAAGGCCCCATACCAGGCACTGAGCAGGATGCATAGAGATGAAGAAGGAATAAAGCAGATGCTAAAAGCCTGCAGGGAATGGGGTCGGGGGAGGGGAGACAGTACCAGACCCAAAACCAAAGAGTACTGAGCAGGTGCTGGGAGCCAGCCCTGCCAGCATGGGGGCAGTGGAGGGCCCAGTCAAAGCTGGACATTGACCTGGACTGTCTTTCCAATCAGTCTGTTCCCTTGAGCCAGGCCACTTAGATATTTCCCTGAAGCCCTTATGAGAATTACTAATTTGTTGGGCAATTTCTTTCTTCATAAATGATTTCATGTAAACATCAGCAGTTACATTACCCACACTAAAAAATCAGTGGAGCACAAGTTAATAAAGTTTTACGCAACCTCATTTTTACCACCAACTTGACCATCTTCCAGACTTTCCAAATTTATTCACACACAATCTCCTTGTGACCTGCTCAGGAGCATGTGATTTAGAGGAGGAGTGGGGCACACAGTTTATAACCCAGGCACAGCCATAGCACTCACGGGAAATACATAATATCTGAACAAAGTTCTTTGTAACTTAGTGAACATTTGAAAAAGACAAAAGCCCACTGAACAATATAAAGAAAGAAAACAAGGGCAAATGTCATTTTAAAGGGTTAATTTATTAAATTAATTTATTGATTGTCTACTAAGAAACATGCATGCAAGAATAAATGTAAGCAAGAGGAAAGAAAGAAGGAGGGAAAGGAAGGAAAGAAAAAAAATAAAAGAAGGAAAGAAAGAAATCCTAAGTAGACATGGACCGGGGGTGCCAAGAGTTAGGCTGCCAGGGGTGGGGACCTAAACTGCAGATGAAAGTCACAAAGGAAGATCCTACTTGTGATACTAATTTTGCTAATTCAGTCTGGCCAGGACCTAAAAAATCCTCTGGCCCCTCCTCTGCCATCAGGCAGACCCACTTTGAAATTCCACCACACACAGAACAGTCTTTCTTCTGAAGGCGGCCTCCAGAAACGGAGGCCAGCAGCTCCCTCAGGAGTCTGACAAGCCTCACTCCTCACACCTGCCTTTCCCTTCCTTCAATCTCGTTTCAAAGCTCACGCCTACCTCCTCCGTTTCTAACTGAACTGATTACACCTCTAAACAACTACAACCATCATCCGAAAGGAGGAGACACAAACCCCACTCAGGGACGATACCTGCTGTGCTGGGATGCATCCAGGGCCAAAAAATGAAGAGCTGGAAATGCCCGGGGCAGAGAATTAAAATGAGGGGCCAAACTGGCAGAAAACCGGCACCAAGGGGTGTAAAAGAGGACCAGCGTGCAGTCACTACCGTTTGGGTTTAGAAAATCCATGAGGTCCTGTGGTAAAAGAAACAAGTGTTAAAGTCAGCAGTAAATGTGCATGCACGTTTTTTTCTGGAAGGATACCCAAGAAACAGGAGACACTGCTGCCTCTAGGGGGAGGAGGTGGGGCAGGGATAGGAGGAGACTGTAGTCTGTCACCTTAAGAACCGTTTGGATTTAGACCCATATCAATCCATGAAGCAGCAGAAAAGTACTATCAAATGACGTTATAAACTTTCCTCTAAGCTTTCTTAATATTACTATAGAGCAATTTTAATATTTTTCATAATTCATCAGTTCAAATACTAAGAACTCACGGGGTACAGGCCACTGTCCCAACTTTTGAACTATACATCTCACGCAATCTAATGGCATTAGTAAAGCACTGTGGTCTCAGGCCCCAACTATCATCTCAGCAGATCCAAGTCTGTACTAAGCAGTCGGATCAATGTACTTGGCCAAAGGTTAGTTCAATTCAAGGGTGTACCATCCCTGCCACCAAACCCAGACTGCTTAAACTGCTCTGCCCTGGTCACGTGTGTGACACCCGTGAAACAGTCCTGCAGAGCTGAGGCACAGCATTGACCTGGTGTTGAGGGGAGGCTGTGAGGCCAGCACCGACCCTGCACTTGGAGGGGCTACGTGCACTCAATGTACCATACGTACCCTCGTTTAAAATAAGCAATCAGCTTTCAGAGCTAGGATTTCTTCTCTTACATAAGCAGCCTGAATTCATCCTGCTATCTGGCTTAACAATCCTACAGAAACTGTCAGTCATTATCCCAATATTCTCTTTGGAATCACCATTTATCCAACTAGTTGGAAAAGCATGGCTGGATTTGGGACAATTGTCCAGCTGTCACTCCTGAGAAAACACTGGATTCACACTCTTTGGACAAAAGAAACTTTTCATCAATATAACATACTTCCCATGGGCACTACTGGTGTAAACAATACTAAATTACAATTTTAGTAATTCAGATGCTTTTAAGTTGCCTCTGTAATACCTCATTTGGAAGAAGAAAAATGCTATGATTCTGATGCCAAGCACCTATCTGTCCACCAGGATTTTATCATGAGACTTGGTGGAGAGATTAGCCCAAGGATGACTAGGTTTAAGTCACCTAAATTATAATGACACTAGTTATACCTCCTCCTTTCCCTGCAAACATCACAGAAAGCAAAGTCAATTTTCACTGATGCAGCCATTAAATGCTATCCCACTTACAATATGATAAAGACTATGACCCTCCCTTTGAAAATTGATAGAGTATTAAACCGTAAAATCAATGTACTGAAAAGGAGAAAAGGACTAAAGAATTTTTTCTTACCTGTGACATATTTAAAATTTTCAGAGTGAAATTTTCTAATCCCGTCACATTTCTCTCCTCACAGTTCACCTTTGGGGACTTCAGACTTTCAGTGTTATTGGAGTCCTCTGTCGGGGCTAGGTCCGATTCCGCCACCTCCGGCTCTGTGTAATACTCCTCTTCTCTATCAGGGAAGCTTGCTCCAGCGCTGTCCAGCGAGAAGAAGCTCTCTCCGAGACTGCACCGCGCGTCCTCCTCCCCTCCAGCCCTGCAGGTTCCGCCGCCAGGCTCTGAGCTCAGTTTGTCCTCAGCCTCCCCGGGAATTACAGACAACATCGCCATGTGGTCGCCATCGGTGTCCAGCCCCAGCACTGCATCAGCCTCTTCAGCTGACACGTCCTGGCCCATCGGGCCACGTGAAGGCTCCTCCTCACTTGTGTACACAGCCCCCACCTGGAGAGGGCGAGCAGGCTGCTCCTCTGACCATAAGTGACCACTTTCCTCTGCAACTAAACATGCCAGCATGTTCACAGTCATATTTGACTTCAAAATAAATGAACCCTACAGAATTACAGTTCTCTTCGAATATGAAATTTTCCCCTACAGAGAAGAAAGTTATCCTTCCCATTAAACTATCAGAGGGCTGGCCCCATGGCTTAGCGGTTAAGTGCTCGCGCTCTGCTGCTGGCGGCCCGGGTTCGGATCCCGGGCGTGCACCGACACACCGCTTCTCTGGCCATGCTAAGGCCGTGTCCCACATACAGCAACTAGAAGGATGTGCAGCTATGACATACAACTATTCACTGGGGCTTTGGGGGAAAAATAAAATAAATAAAATCTTTAAAAAAAAAAAAAAACTATCAGAGAGCCACCCACCATTCTCCAGGTCATGGAGACGGTCACAAAGAGGTACTAGATTAATGAATGCCATGTAAATAAGTGGACAAATACATAGCTTCATGCGAAACTCACTGCTTGCATATGGATTATGAACAAAAACATTCCAGTGCAAATCCAATTAGGAAAATATAATACAAACACACTTTAACAATTTTGTTTGATGAGAATATCCAAGAAAATAATGATGGCTTTATGGAAGATTCTACTAGGGCAAAGCATCTTTGCACACATTCTAACAGCTCTGTGAGACAGGCAAGACAAGGGTTATCATTCCCACTTAATAGATGACCAGGCTGAGGAACAGAGAGGTTCAATGTAATGCCCAGTGACATACAAGCTAGTAAGCAGCAGAGCCAGGTCTCAGAGCAGAGTCTTCTAACTGCTACTCCAGAACGGGCCTTACCCTCCCCTACGATACCTCGGGGGTTGCTGGGCCACACTACCTGAGGAACACTTTTCGAGCCACGAAGCAGCTCCTTCCTAAGGTGGCCTCTCCAGCTGAACTCTGGTCTCTTGCCCGCTGCTCTTGGGCTACTGCCCTTGGGAGTGCTATGGGGTGCACCCAGCAGTGCTGGGGCAGCAGCAGGGAGAAAAAGACTTTCCTCCCACTATGGAGCCACCAGATAGGGCTTGGGCAAAATAGTCAGGTAAGGGAAGAGTCCTGGGCAGTCTCGTACATCCACTCAGCAATCTCTACTCTGTAACAATGACTCCCGCCCTCCAACTCTCATTAACTCAGCAATGGCTGCCAGACTCTGCGCCAGGCACAGACTAGAGGAAACAAATGAGCCCAGCTGCAATCAGACAAGCTCCCCATGGGCAGGACCCACCAGCTGTGTAGTGAGCTCTGCCATGCCAACAGCATGTCACCAGCGTTTGAATGACCAACTGGCTTCAAAGTTGGGGAAGGGTCCGGGAGCCTCCTAAGGTAGGCACATTTGTATAAGGTCTCAAAGAATATTCCCATAGAGATGTGCAGATTCATTCAGAAATTCAAAAACATTCCCTGGGAATTATGCTCCTGGCTAACACGGAGTAACAGCGACCATATTTACCCTCCCTCCTGAAACACCCCCAAAACAGCCAAATATGTGAAACAACAGTTTCAGGAGACCAACTACCAGGCACCCAAGGCCAGTGATCGCTGAGAAACAGGAAGCAAATGAGGAGAGCCCTAAAACTGCTCTAGCTGACCGCCTGAGGGCGTTCCCGCCCGGCTCAGGGAAGGGGACCAGGCAGAGCCCAGCAGACTCCTCAAGCTGAGGAGATGGGGCCAAGGGTCCAAGGAGATCAAGAAAGCTAGAGTTTGTGGAACAGAATACTGGAGATAGGAGAGCTGCAGAGAGAGGACTCTGGAGATCTACAGAGGGGCCCCTCAAGAACACTGGTCAGCATATGCATGTGAGTAAACTACCCAAAGCAGGGAAAGAATTGCCCAGAAGGATTAGAGGCAACAGTACCCAACACTCACACAGAGCTGGGAATAGTCCCTGTTCTCACCAGCTAGACTGGAAAACCTCATAATTCACAGGGCACTAGGGAGAGTACACAAAAGGGACTTGTTTCAGTAGTGGGGCACAATTAACCCTATAGTAGATACAGCTCTGCTCCCATCTAGCAAACTTTTAAAAGCAAGAATCAAGCTCTTTCCCTCCAAGCAGGCGGCAGCAGCTTGTGTAGCCATGGGCAAGATTAAGGCTCGAGACCTTTTCGGCAAGAAGGAAGGGCTGCTGAAACAGCTGGATGCCCTGAAGGTAGAGCTATCCCAGCTGCGCATCCCCAAAGTGACGGGCGATGCAGCATCCAAGCTCTCCAAGATCTGAGTTCACAAATCCATCACCGGTGTCTCACCATCATTAACCAGACGTAGGAAGAGAATCCCAGGAAATTCTACAAGGGCAAGAAGTACAAGCCCCTGGACCTAAGACCCAAGAAAACACATGCCATGCGCCGCCAGCTCAACAAGCATGAAGAGAACCTGAAGACCAAGAAGCAGCACGTAGAGGAGCAGCCGTACCCACTGGGGAAGGACTCAGTCAAGGGCTGAGCATCGTGGCACAATAAAACACAAACTGTCAGAAAACACAAGCAAGGATCAAACCATGTTCAAGTAACTTAACTGTATCCCAGAACAAAGTTCAAGAATAGTTATAGGAATACTAAAATATCTAGCACTCAAGAAGGTAAAATTTATGTCTGGCATCCAAGCAAAGATTACCAGGCATGCAAAGAAGCCAGAAAATATGATCCATAATGAAGAGAATTATCGACCAATTAAAACTGACCCAGAACTTGCACAGATGTCAGAATTATTAGATGAGGACATTAAAACAGTAATTATAACCATATTACACATGTTCATAAAGTTAAGTAGCTATACAGACATAAGATATAAAACAAGACCCAAATCGAAATGCAAATCAATTTGCAATGAGATATCACCTCATACCTGTTAGAATGGGTATCATCAAAAAGACAAGAAATAACTAAGTGTTGGCAAGAATACAGAGGAAAGGGCACCCTTGTGCACTGTTGGTGGGAACATAAATGGGTGCAGCCACTACAGAAAACATCATGGAGGCTCCTCAAAAAATTAAAAATAGAACTACCATATATATGATCCAGCTTCCACTTCTGCATATTTATCCAAAGAAAATAAAAACACTAACTCAAAAAGATATATGCACCCTGTGTTCATTGCAGCATTATTTACAATAGCCAAGACATGGAAGCAACCTAACTGTCCATTGATGGATCAATGGATAAATAAAATGTACACACACACACACACACACACACAATGGAATATTATCAGCCATAAAGAAGAAGGAAATCTTGCCATTTACAACAATGTGCATGGACCTTGAGGGCATTATGCTAAGTGAAATAAGTCAGACATAGAAAGACAAATACCATATGATCTCACTTATATGTGAAATCTAAAAAAAAAAAAAAGCAAGTTCATAGACACAGAGAACAGATTAGTGGTTGCCAGAGGTGGTGGGTGGGGGTGGGCAAAATGGGTGAAGGTGGTCAAAAAGTACAAACTTCCGGTTATAAAATAAGTAAGTCATGGAGATGACATGTACAGCATAGTGACTATAGTTAATAATAATGTATTGTATATTTGAAAGTTGCTAGGAGAGTAAACCTTAAAAGTTCTCACCACAAGAAGAAAAATTTTGTAACTATGTATGGTGATGGACATTAACTAGACTTATTGTGGTGATCATTTCGCAATATATACAAATATCGAATCATTATGTTGTACACCCGAAACTACGATAATGTTATAAGTCAATTATAACTCAATTAAAAAAAAGCCTCAAATCATACTTCTGGCGATGAAAACTACAATGTCTGAGATGAAAACTGCACTGGATGGACTAATGGCAGATTAGACTGCAGAAGAAAAGAGTAGTGAACTTGAAAGCATAGCAATAGAACCTATCCAAAGTGAAAAAAAGAATCCAAAAAAATTAAGAACATCAGTGAGCTGTGGGACAATTTCAAGTGGCCTAATGCACAGATAATTGGAGTACTCAAAAGAAAGAAGAGAGTGGAAAAGACAGAAAAAGTATCTGAAGAAATAATAACTGAAAACTTTACAAACTTGATGAAAACTATAAAACCATAGATCCAAGCTCAACAAACCCCAAGCTCAATGAACTACACCAAGACACATCGTAATCAAACTAATCAAAACCAGTGACAAGAAAAAATCTTGAACATAGCTAGAGAATAAAGACACACTATGAACAGAGGAACAAAGATAAGACGACAGCAGATTTCTCGTTGGAAACAATGCAAGCAAGAAGAGCAGCATCTTTAAAGTACTGAAAGGAAAAAACTACAAACCTAGAATTCTAAACCCAGCAAAAATATCTTTCAAAAACAAAAGCAAAATAAATACTTTTGCAGACACACAAAAGCCAAAAGAATTCATCACCAACAGACCCACACGATAAGAACCTTAAAGGAACGCCTTCAAGCAGAAGCAAAATGATACCAGATGGAAATATGGATCCACACAAAAGAATGAAGAGCACCAGAAATGGTAACTACATGGATAAATATACACAATTCTTTCTTTTTTATTTTTTTTTTTTAAAGATTTTATTTATTCAGCTTTTTCCCCCCAAAGCCCCAGTAGATAGTTGTATGTCATAGGTTCACATCCTTCTAGTTGCTGTACGCGGGACTCGGCCTCGCGTTGGACGGAGAAGCGGTGCCTCCGGGCGCTCCCGGGATCCGAACCCGGGCCGCCAGCATCAGAGCGCACGCACTTAACCGCTAAGCCACAGAGCCGGCCCTACACAATTCTTTCTGAAAGTCTAGCTAAGAAGAGGACAAGAAAGATGGGGTAGTTGCTGTGGGCAGGCAAGGGGCTAAGAGAGGTTTCTATTTTGGTTTTTAGGACATAGGAGAAATTTAAGGATATATAAAGCTGACAGGAAGGCAGGTAAGGAGGAGAGGTGACAATATAGGTTAGATAGGGCAGAGGACAGGCCTTGGACAGCAAGGTGGGTCCTTGACAGAAGAGGGTCAAGCACTTCCATGACTATGACCTAGAGAAGGGGCGGGGTGCCTGGGCAAGGAGTTCTGCCAGTGTGAGGGTGGGATCACACTGGTGGTCTTTCTGGAGGCTTTTGGTTGATGAGCATGTACTGCTTATATAATCAGAAGAAAAACCAAACATGTTTGCTGGGTTGTCCACAAGACAGAGCAGGAAATGAAACCAGAGTGGCTGAAAATCTGGAGAAGAACGAAGGGTGCCAGGTTTGGAGGCCGAGCCCTGCTCCCAAATGCCCCAGCTCCACAGAGATCTGCTCTCTCTGAACCTAATCAACATTCTAGGTCCAATAAGTAAGTGGAAAATACCAATAACCTGAAAGCATCTCAGGAGAAAAAAATAAGGGCACAAATTAGAATCCAGTTCTCTCTGATCACCCTTGTGTAAAAATGGATAGATGTCTCCCATAGAAAATCAAAAAGGAGTCTGAGTGATGCAGAGAGCTGGCATTTTAAGTTCAGGAGTGTTGTTTTTCCCTCCTGTGAAGATATTTAAGTACACAGTACAGATTAGGAACAAAAAAATTCTTATGCCCTCAGGTACCATTGTTCTCATTTAGGTATCGAGAAGAAAGGAAACACTGAATTACTCCACAGGAAGATAGAAATGACCTACTCTGTGAAAGTCATTGAACCCTCCCATGGTAAAGTGCCTTTTAAAAGAGATTGCTTCTTAACCTAAACTAGCTGATTACAGTCTGAGCCATGCATAAAATGAAAATTATTCCATTACTGGCAGCAAAGAAGATGTTCAGAGAACAAGGTGGGGGCACCATGCCAACTCTGCCAGGGAGCCCCAGCCTAGGTCAGCTCCTTCACACCCTTCCAGTTTTTCTCAGAAGGCTCTCTACCAGCCACAGGTTTTTTCACAATGGCTTCTGTGGCAGGGGAGCCAAATGGGGGAGGACCAAAACAGCCAGGGGTTGGAGGGGCAGCAACCAATACTTTCCACAGGAAATACTCAGTGTGCTCATCTAACAAATGAAGAAAACACCAGCGAAAAGCAGAAATTCAGAGCTACTGAGATTAAATGAGAAAAGATGTATGTGGTCCCTAGCACATGGTAAGCACTCCATAAATGCCTGCAGTGATGATGATGATGATGTTTACAGTTCAAAGAGATGAACAGGCATCATAACTAAGTCCTGGTAATTCCTCTGCTAAATACATTCTGGATCCATCCACTTCTCCCGTCCCCACTCACACCCTCAGCCCAGGCCACTGCCATCTCTCACCTGGACAATTGCTGTAGCCACCTTACTGGTCTCCCTGGTTGGCGTTCTATCCCCTCTCCGGACTCTGCTCCTTACAGCAACCCAAGTGGAATTGAAAGTTAAAGGCAAATATGATCATGTCACTCCCCTGCTAAAACCCTTTCAGTGGCTTCCTCCTGCCCTGTGACTGAGTCTGCTTTCTGTTGCATGGGTACCAGGCCCCACGTGACGTGGCCTCTGTCCACACTCTCAACTGGTGCCATAGACATTTCTGGTCCTGGATCACTCACACTCTCCTCCACCAACCTTAGAGTTGTCCCGAGGGCTGTTTCTCTGCTGGGAAAGCCCTCCACCCCCTCTTCTTCTGGCTAATCCAACTCAGCCTTTAGATCTCACCCTAAACTTCACCTCTGTAAGGTGAACTTCAACTTCCCTTACCCTCAGACAGTGGGGTCGCCCATTATAGCATCCAATAATGCCCTGGGACTCTCCTTAAAGCATTTTCCACTCTTGTAATTTACTTAATTATTTGTAGTCATTTAATGCCTGCCTTCTGCAGCCGACAGGAGGGCGGACCTGTTTCTCTGTCGGGCTTACCACTGTACCCCCAGTGCCCAGCAGAGCGTGTGGCATATGATGGGTGCCCAGTAAGAATCTGCTAGCTGACTGCCTAGTGAAGATGGCATGGGGGTGTTGAAGCCAAAAGGTGGTTCCCATTCCTTGACACCTGGACAGCACTGCCACCTCCAGCTGCTAATCTGCCAGTGGTGTCCTCTGCAGAAAAAACCCTTGGATTTTCAACCATCCTGAAAAAGAACCAGCTGGTAAGGGTTCCTCTGTCCTCACCCCATTCATGGCCTGACCATGATGACCAAGGACCCACCCCATGGCCAGTGTTATCCTCGGGGCTGCGTGAATGTGACCCTGACTGCCAGGTGGGCTCATACTGACTGCAACAATAACTAAGTCCCCTGAATCAGCCAGGTTTCTGCCAGGAGACAGAGGGCACATTCAACTTGGGTCAAGGAGAACTTAGTAAAGGGACAACCAACATGTGGGCTGGGTGTACAGAAACGAAAGGAATGGTAAGGAACTCCAGGGCCAGTAAGAGCAGAGGGGGAGCCAGTTACCACTCATAGACCCTAAGAGTTCAGAGGCAGAAGCAGTCACAGAACCTTGAAACAGTGAGGACAGCCTTCTAGAAGCCGTGATATTCAATGGAGGGACACAGCCAACCTGTGATATCCCTGAGGGAGAGAGCTTAGAAAATCAATACCCTGAGCTCACTCTCTCCTCATTCCAACCCAACAGAAGCCAGAAGGCAGGAGAGCCAGTTGTTATTCCATACAGGGCAGCCACCCAGGGCACAGAGCAGGGTAGAGAAGGCTGGAGAATGATCCAGCAGACAAACAGAAGATATCCAGCACATGTCGTCCCCTCTCTGAGGCTGGTGGTTAAGTGTAGTGACAGAGAAGTGTAGTACAGAGGTTCAGCTGTGGAGTCAGGCAGACATGGGCTTGAATCACGGCTCAACTTCTGGCTGTATGACTTTGGCAAAAGACTTATTGACTCTAAGTCTCAGTTTACTTATCTATAAAACAAAGACAATAACAACATCTACTTCATAAGCATTTAAAGATTAAATAAGGGGGCCCGCCCCGTGGCTTAGCAGTTAAGTGCACACACTCCACTATTGGCAGCCCGGGTTTGGATCCCGGGCGCGCACCGAGGCACCACTTGTCCAGCCATGCTGAGGCGGCGTCCCACATACAGCAACTGGAAGGATGTGCAACTATGACATACAACTATCTCCCAGGGCTTTGGTGAGAAAAAGCGGAAAAAAAAAGGAGAAGGATTGGCAATAGATGGTAGCTCAGGGCCAGTCTTCCGTAGCAAAAAGAGGAGGACTGGTATGGATGTTAGCTCAGGGCTGATCTTCATCACAAAAAAAAAAAAAAAGAAAGAAAGAAAAATAAATAAAGATTAAATAAGCTGATGCTCATAAAGCACCAAGCACAGCGCCTGGCACATACAGAGTACTTTCATTAGTGATAACTGTGTTACTATTGCTCACCCTGCTCCCTGCTCACCCAACTGCCCTGCCTCCTTCCAGGGCACCGCAGGGAAAGGAAAGACCTGCCTATTCCTGTTGAGTTCTTTTTTTTTTTTTTTTAATTTTATTTATTTTATTTTTTCCCCCAAAGCCCCAGCAGATAGTTGTAGGTCATAGCTACACATCCGTCTAGTTGCTGCATGTGGGACGCGGCCTCAGCATGGCCGGAGAAGCGGCGCGTGGGTGCACGCCCGGTATCCCAACCCGGCCCGCCAGTAGCGGAGCGCACGCACTTAACCGCTAAGCCACGGGGCCGGCCCTTTTTTTTGTTTTGTTTTGTTATAATTTTATTTATTTTTCCTCCAAAGCCCCAGTAGATAGTTGTATGTCATAGTTGCACATCCTTCTAGTTGCTGTACGTGGGACGCAGCCAGACAAGCGGTGCGTCACTGCGCGCCGGGGATCCAAACCCGGGCCGCCAGCAGCGGAGCGCGCGCACTTAACCGCTAAGCCACGGGGCCTGCCCCCTGTAGAGTTCTAAATGACAAGCAAGGCCAAAGAGTCTGGACTTCAATAGGACTGTGAGGAGTGGGGTGAAGGAGCAAGGAGAATAGGGCCTCAACCCCCGGACTCGGGATGCCTCCAGGGTGGCTGCCTTCCCCACCTGGGCCCTGAGAGTAGGGGCCCTGAGAGTAGGCCCTGGCAGGCTGCAGGTTACCCTGGAAGTCTCCAGTGTTTTTCTCATCTGTATATCCAGGCATCTGAGCAAGAGGGGAGCTCTTAAGAAAGTGGTCCAGCAGGGTGCAGAGTAAAGCGTGGGCTTTGCAGTCAGAAAGACAGGCGCTGCCATTTACCAGAAGCGCAAACTTGGGCAGATTACTTAGCCTCTCTGAGCTTGGCATCTCCATCTGTAAAATGGAGATACGAATGGAATCTATCTCACAGGTCGGTGGGAGGACTGAATGAGATAATGATGGAAAGCACTAGGCACAGTTCCTGGCTCCTAATAAGGACACCACAACTGTTGGCTATTCGTTATGATTATCATCATTAATCATGAAGTGCTTCCCATACGTGGGCAGGCCTCAGTGAGCGCTACTACATGGTCACTCCCGACCGGCAGACGCCTGCTGAGGGGGCTTGAATGTGGCCTGGTCACACCCGGGGCTCCCTGCCCCGCCGTCCCCCGACCCCGGACCAGGAGTGGGGGACCACGGTGGGGAAAGAGGTCGGGACAACGCGGGGAGAGGCGCACCGGAGGGCGCCAGGAAGGGGCGAGGCGCGCGTCGCGGGCCTTCGCGCAGGTAAGAGCGTCGCCCGGCAGACCGCCACCTCGCCCGTCACTCCGCGCACCGCCGCCTGCCGCCCGGCCACGGCCCCAGCCCGCACTCACCCTCCAGGCTGCGGGCGGGAGGCCCCAGCACCCACAGCAGTACCTGCCACCAGCCGAGGAGCCGCATGGTGCGGGCCGCGGCGGCCGGGACCACTATCCAGGCCGAAGGGCAACGGGCGCACCGCGACGCGAGTGGCGCTCCCAGCCGGAGGAAGGCTAGGGGAGAAGAGCCCGAGAGCGCGCGCGCGGCCCCGCGCCGCCATCTTGGCAGCTGGCAGCCGCCGCGGGCTCCATTTTGGAGTCGGGCGGCCTGCCTCTGGCCTGTGGCCCTTGGCCTGCGCTGGGGGACGCCGTTCATCTCAGGTCGTTTCCAAGTTTCCTGATTCCAAGCCCTGGGTGGGGTTCCAGCAGAAGCCCGTGGCCCCCTTTCTTCATGGGCCAGTCGGGGCCTGGCTGCTGGCGGCACACACTGCGCCCACCGGCACTTCATTCACGGGCCAGAAGGGCCCAGAAGCCGCCTCCTCCCTCGAGTGCCCCCATGGAGGTGCAAATCTTCGAATCCCCTGCCTTACCCGCACTACTCTACGTAGGGTTGCCGGATAAAATACAAGATGCCCGGTAAATCTGAATTTCACATAAGCAACTAATAATTTTTTACTATAAGAAACATACCGAAATTCAAATTTAACTGAGTGTTCTGTAATTTTACTTGCTACTATCTGGCAACCCTAATAACCCTACTTGTCTACTCAGGGCAGGATTTCTTTTTTCTTTTCTTTCTTTCTTTTTTTTTTTTTTTTGCTGAGGAAGATTCACCCTCAGCTAACATTTGCTGCCCCTCTTCCTCTTTCTGTATGTGAGCCCCCACAGCATGATCACTGACAGATGAGTGGTGTAGGGCCCGGTCTGGAACCAGGTGGCCACGCAAGCTGTGGGCAGGAACGTAATGGTTGGTTTTAGCTCTCCCTCCTGCACGGCACTCTCTGCCTCCCTAATCCGCGCCCTAGGCTGGGTCCTGGAGGGGGTGGAGCCACCGCGAACATAAAGCTAGGAAAGGGCTTGGATCAAAAAGGCAGGGATGAGGCAGGGAGATGTGCTACCAAGGGACAGGACTCTGCAGTCTGGAACAAAGCACAGAGGGAGAGTCTAAGAGAGAATTCTAGAAGAGAATGAAAAGGGGGAGGGCCTCCTGAAATCGAATAAAGCAAGTTTTGAGCAGCCACCAGTGCTAAATCAATGCAGAGTACAGCTTTCAAACTTATTTTAAGAGGTTGAAAAAACAGAAATATATTTCAAAGATCTTTACACAGAGCCATTGGTAAATATAGCAACGTTAACAAGAACCTGGGCTTTTTGGCCTGTAGTTAATCCTGGCTCCAACATTGATAATAGTATATGATCATTCAGCAAGTTATGTAATGTAAAGTTCGGTTTCTTCATGTGTAAAATGGGGATGAAACTATAGAGTTACGTGGATTAAATGAGATGTGAAGTGATGAGCACAGTGCCTGGTGCACAGCAAGCACTTCAAAGTGGTAGCCATTATTATTTGAATTATACAGTTCTAGTGGAGTAACCATAGTCCCCTTGTGCCCATCAAAGAGAGATTGTTAGACCAGAAAGGTGCATCAACAATCTGACCCTATGGATGATTCTTATATTCCAAATAGGCTGCCATAGTTCTGTATAGTAAATTCTCAAGTGTGTGTGGGTCCAGGAGGATCTGAGATAATGGACTACATGGATGAAAGAGCCCGCACTTCTAGAGTTGATCACTACAGTCATCATTTGGCTACCTCCCTCCCTCACCCCCAACATGTAATAGCAAACCTTTCCTTCTTTAACTTATTCTCTCCCATACCCTCCATACCCAATTTGAAGGTGCATGGAAAGCCAATAGGACAGAGGATTAAGGAGATTTAGGATTAATGAAAAGGAGGCTAATTTGACTCATCTGGACACACCACAGTGGATGCCCTATAGTTACTATTCCTTTTTTTTTTTTTTTTTTAGCTGAGGAAGAGTCGCCCTGAGCTAACATCTGTTGCCAATTTTCCTCTTTTTTTTTGGCTGAGGAAGATTCACCCTGAGCTAACATCTGTGCCAATCTTCCTCTATTTTGTATGTGGCTTGCTGCCACAGCATGGCCGCCAATGAATGGTGTAGGTCCCTGTCCAGGAACCGAACCCAGGCCACCAAAGCGGAGTGCACTGAACTTAACCACTAGGCCGTGGGGCTGGCCCCCTTTCCTTTTTATGTCCTTTCCCTTCCTGTGTTTTGTGCTTTGCTGTTTGTTTGGAC